TCACGCGGGGGGGGGGGTGCTGGGGGGGGGGGTAGAAGGGCTCATTAGCTGCTGCTGAAAGCTGCAACCTGAGCAAACCTGAGGGGGAGCACAGTCCGCCGCTCTGCTGCTCCACATTTCCGCCGCGGCTCTCTGTGTCCAAGGATGGGATTTGAACCCTCGCCTGCAGCAGCGTCCAAGTTGAAATGGCTCGGATTACAGGGATTTAAAAGCCCGTAAAGTTTTTAAAATCAACTCCGAGACGCTTCTGTGTCCCTCTGCTTTCCAATGCGGGCTCAGACCTGAAGTCCCAGGACTCCGTTTCATCTCAGGAACCGAAGGGGAAACGACACACTTCGGCTCACCGGCAGGTGAAGGGGGAGGGGCCTCTCTGCAACATGGCCGCCATTTTGAAACGGGATCAAGGGCCAGTTTTTCCACTGGGAAGGGGGTCATGTGACTTATCAAAAGAGAACGGAATATCCACAGATGTCGACCACAGACGTAAAATTAACAGATTCCCCTTTGGTTAAAAAGTTAGCCGCACAGAAAAATCTTCCTGCAAACAGCGGAAGTTACAATTTAGAACAATTCTGGTCAGTTTCGGCCCTTTTGTTGTATTTTTGTCTGCAGTTTGGTGTCTTCTTTTGACGTTTTCTGATCAGTTTTTCCCTTTTTCTGGTGTTTTGCTACACGATTTTTTTATTTTTATGACCAATGATTGCGATTTTGTGTCGATTTCTGTTCTTTTGCTGCACGTTTCTGCACTTTGGTGTCTTCTATTGACATTTTCTGATCAGTTTCTTCCTTTTTCTGATGTTTTGCTCCACATTTTTTCTTTTTTCTGACTAGTTATTGGAGTTTTGTGTCTTCTTTTGTAATTTTACAACCAGTTTGTCCCTTTTTCTGACAATATTTTTCAATCTTTGGCAAATATTCTCTTAAAAATTGGAAAATAAGTACATTCTGTTTGGGGCTTCACCTCAAATCCTCATCTGCTAGCTTTTGAAGTCGAGCCTCTCATCAGGAGTTTTTGTTCCCGGTTCTGCAGAACTCAAACAGAAACCGATACCAGCTCATATTTACCCAAACTTTAAACAAAGAAACACATTCCCAGGCTCTCTCTCGCAGCTTTTCAAAGGCTTTTTTTCTGGTGTTTTTTTCACTTCTGTGGACTCACGCTGCCTCGGTGTCCTCTGTCCTCGCACGCTCCCACTTGAAGCTGAGATCTGGGCCCTGTGGGGGGGGCGCCGCCCTCTGCAGGGGGCCCTCACCGACTGGTGGTCAGACTCCGCTCTGATGCTGCTCAGGATGCTCAGGTGGAGCTACCACGTGGCTCCATTTTGAGGGAGGAAACAGTCCAGAGAAGCTGTGGAACAGGTCCAGCCGAAGACGTTTTGCATTATTCTCTGAGATTCTGCCTCTGTTGGGAAGGTTTAATGGTCTTTTGCTGGATCTTGAACAGGAATATTGGCTCGCTTTAACCTTCCTTTATTGCCCCTTATTGGCTCATAGGCTGAAAGTGGCCTTTGTGGGTCTGTGGTCTAATTTGGGGAGGTGGGTGCAGGAAGTCAGAGGTCTGAATCCAGCAGGGGGACATGAGCACATCCCAGTCCGGGGACATTCAGCAGCTCTGCTCATGCTTTTATGGCACAAATGGGTCCATTTCTGCTGGTTTTGTCCTTTTAAATCCACAGCCACAGACAAACCTCAAACCCAGACGCATCGCTGCCTGTGACACATCTGAAGGTTATTTCACACAGAGCTGACCATGGAGCGCCTGCTAGATTTCAGACCCCTCCACACAAACGTCTGTGGTAAATGTGTGCGACAGACAAACTTTCCCTTATTTTACCTGCAGTTTAGTGTCTTTTCTGATCATTTTTCCTCTTTTCTGGTCTTGTGCTCCACATTCTTTATATTTTCCTGATTATTATTGGAGTTTTGTGTCAATTTCTGGTCAGTTTCTGCTCTTTAGCTGTGTATTTTTGCACTTTGCTGTCTATTTTCGTTCATTTTGTGATCAGGTTTTTCCCTTTTTCTGGTCTTTTGCTCCACATTTTGTACATTTTTATTACCACTTATTGGAGTTTTGTGTCAATTTCTGGTCAGTTTCTGTTCTTTAGCTGCATATATCTGTAGTTTGTTGTCTTCTTTTGTCATTTTGTGATCGGTTGGTCCCTTTTTTGGATAATTTTATGTCCATTCTTCATGTTTTGTGACAGTTTCTGATAATTTTGTCTCTTTTCTGGCACTCGTTTTAACTCTATGGCTAATCATTGCACGTTTTCGGACCCCTCCACACAAACGTGTGTGACACATGTGTGTGATATGTAAACTTTCCCTGGTCTGGTGCTTGTCCCTGCTGCTGTGCACAGGTGTGGAAGCTCCTCGGCTCTTACAGGCGTTCTCATGAAGTATTTGTTTGCCCGGGGGACCCAGTAGGAGGCCCTTTAAACTCCGCTGGTCATCAGTGTGGCGCTGGAGAGCCTGTGGCCTTAACCAAAGGTCACCTCAAACGGGTGGAGGGAGAGGAGATCCGTGAACTTTCCATCTACTGCAAACATGCAGCGCGCAAAATAAGATTTCTCAATATTGACTGAGACAACAGAGAAGGAGCAGAAGGGTCAGCGCCAGTCGAATGGCCTTATCGGAATAATAAGTCACCGTTCATTTTCTTTTCTAATTTCTGAGCACAAATGTCAAAAGTAAATTGGGATTAGTAATTCGTCTCTCATTTATTCTCCTGCAGCCTTTGGGCTGAAAGAAAAAAGATCAACTCAACTGATATTTTAATGCAATTAAAAAGACTTATGTGTGTAGCTGCGTGATTTTAAAAAATAACCTTTGTGTGAAACGCCCCAAAAAACAGAACGACCTGACTTTGCACATGCACGGTGAGGTGGGGGGGGGGGGTAGTGCACGTTTCTGGGTTAGAGGATCCATCCACGGAGCTTCAGAGGCTTCTTTTGGCTGTTCTGCACGAGTCAGCATTGGCCTAAATTCCCACAATATCACCCTGAAGGCAGCGCCGGCAGCTGGTGCAGGTAGTCAGCGGCCCCGCCCCCGAGAGCACCTGCCCCCATCCCTCATCCCCCCCACCCCTCATCCCCCCCATCCCTCATCCCCGCAGGCGCGTGGCGCTGCTCGTCCCGGCTGGAAAACAGCCTTCAGAGGAAGAGATCCCTCCCATTTCCAGCCTCAGTCCGCAGAAAGTCTCTGACCTTTGACCTTCTGCTCCTACCACAAATCCCCCTCAGTCCCCCCCCCCTCCCGTTCACTCGGGTCTGTAACTTTAGTTAGAATTTGGCTATAATTGCTCACTTTAGCATCGAATGCTATCACATAACTCTGGACTCTGGAACTCTTCTGACTCTCTCCCTCTTTTCAAAACAAAACTCAAAAATGTTTTTTATGTTTAAAATGTCTTACCCACCTCACCACCCCTAACTCTAACATTCCCCTCATCTGCACAGTTTTATTCATTTCATGTTTATTTAATTTGTCTATAATGTTTTATTTATGATGTATTTATGACTTTGTATGTTTCTCATGTTGCACTGTTGTTTTCATGATGATAGTCTTCTAATCTATGTAAATTACTGATTGTTTTATTACTTTTATAACTAGACTTTTGTGTCCACAGACTCTCTTCTCTGTCTTTTTCTCTCTCTGTTGCATTAGATCCACCTTTAGGTCAACACACACACACACACCATTTGTTACCACATTCCTGTCATCTGCATGAATTAGGACCTGGCCTGTTCCTGCCCAGAGGTAACTGGCCAATAAGACTTGGTTGTGTCCAGTCCTCCTTTGAGGAGGCGGATGGAGCCCAGGAGATAATGCCCATCACCCAGATCTCAGGGCTCTTTACCACTGAGACCCAGAGAGAGGTTTTAGTCTGTCAGAGCCCAGCTGACCCATGAATCAATGCCATTTTTTACTCTTAATCTACTCTGGTTTATTCTCAGGTTTACAACTAAAGAATCGGGTTAACAACTTCAACGCATAAATCTGCGTTTTCTGAGGGAACAAGGCGGGGGGGTGAAGGCACTTCCAGACATGAGGAGAATCGATAAAAACCGAAGCACTTCCAGCTAAATATTGCCAAATTTCTGTGTTTTTTTTTTTTTTCCATTTCCTCTCCGGCTCCGAACACAGAGGATTATTTGATTATTTTGCATGCTGATGAGGGGGCGCTGGGGGGCCGCTGGGGGGCCGCTGGGGGGCCGCTGGTTCCCGCGGCGAGCACAGAGTCAACAACTTTTTTGGAGACGGCAAATTGAACTCTCTTCCTCCAATTTCTTTTTCATATTTCTCATCCCTCTCTCCCCCCTCAAACCTCTGCAAATATTCGGCTCTAATCACGGGCTTTGATTCCATTTCCCTCTCCACAAACAGCGGGCCGCTCAGTTAAGAGCGCTCAGAGATGAAAGCCCGCGCATCCAGGACGGATAAAGAAAAAGAACAGGCGGAAAAAAAAAGGTTATTTTCCCCCCGTCAGCTTCCAAATTCCTGCTGGCTGTGGCAGAGTTGTAAATACCCAAGATAAAAGAAGGCTCTGCCGGCTTCTGCTTAACATTCCCATTTGCCTTCCAACAATGGCGGCTTTTGTGTGCTCTCATGTACGCGGATGAATAAAGTAAAAAAAAAAAAAAAAAGACATAAAAAAACTTTGCCTGTAGTACTTTGCAAAACATAATTCAATCATAGAAAGAGAAGAAAAACAGAAGAGGAGGCCCGGTGATCCCGGGAACAAAGCCGGAGATGTTTTGGGAATTCTCCAAGGTGAGCGCTGAAGGAAAAGCTGCTCTTCACAGGCGCGTGTTTCTGGAACAAAAGCGGCATTTAGGCGCCGCGGGGGGCGCCGTCTGAACTCTTTTAATGAGCCGAAACAAAAGAAAAAAACACCGAAAAAAGAAATCCTGGTTTGGCCGTGTGTGTGGCGCCTCACAGATCCGAGCCGAGGTGATTCCGGCTCCCGCCTCTTGTCCCTGTTCCGGGTTTAACGAGGGGAAATGGACGAGCCGGGACCAGACCGCTGCCCCCCCCGGTTCGGGGAATCGGAGACCGATAACAAGCTGCTTGGCAGGTTAATCCCGCTGGACCCCTGAGAGCCCCCCCCCCCCCGGCTGGAGGTGTGTGGGCTTAATTGCTGTAATTTGCGTCATTGCTGACACCTGTGGAGGCGCAGCTCAGAGGAGGCCCTCACTTTGCCGGGTTTTCATATTGAGATCCAGTAAAATGGGGGTCTTTGTGAGTGTCTCTGGATGTCAGACTCGTTGTTTTCCTGGAGGAATTTAGCTGGAGCCTTTCTGTTGCATCTGTTCTTGGAAAACCGTGAGGTTTCAGAGGAGAGTTCTGCCATTTTTCTGTTTTTCTGGATCAATTTCTGGTCAGTTTCTGCTCTTTTGTTGTGTTTTCGTCTGCAGTTTGCCGTCGTCTTTTGTCGTTTCGTGATGGGTTTGTCCGTTTTTTCTGGGCTTTTGCTCCACATTTGGATAATTTTATGGGTATTCCTCATGTTTTGTGAGTTGTGAGTGTGTGTTTTGGGGCCTTTTTGTTTGGAGTTGATCTGTTCTCGGAAAACTGAGACTTCAGAGGAGAGCTCCATAATTTTCTGTTTTTGGGATTGATTTTGGTCTATTCCCTTTCTCTGCTCTTTTGCTCCACATTATTTATTTTTTTACTAATCCATTTTCTGTTCTTTTGCTGTACATTTTTGTAATTTAGTGTCGTCTTTTGTCCTTCTGTTACCGGTTCATTCCTTTTTTTGGATCCTTTTATGGCCAATATTCATGTTTTGTGACTTATTTTTGATCAATTTGTCCATGTTTCTGGTATTTGACAATTGTTTACTTTATGGCTAATAATACGAGATTTGTGTCCATTTCTGTTTAGCTTTTAGATTTTTTCAGCACTTTGCAGTTTTGCATCCATTGTCTCAAACATATCTGCAGTCTCAGCTGGACTTTGTCAGACTTTTTGTGCACTAATTGTGTTACTGGAGCCTTTAAATGTAACGGGACGATTTAGTTCACCTGTGAGGCTTCAGAGAGCTCCATCATTTTCTCTGTCTGGCTGCTTTGACATCAGAGTTCACTGAGTCTGCAGCTCTTATTGGATCCTGAAATGGTGACATCATTCCGTCTGAAGAGGCTTGGCCTTAAAGGGGGGTAACGGGGAGGGATGGATAAAAGGATTTGCTGGGACTCTTAAGGGGTTCAAGTCAATTCTCCGCCTGTGGAGGCTGAATCTTCAGCTCCTTTGGGATCAAGTGCACCATGACTATCAGCTCTCCTCTACAACAGCTCGCCTTTGAACACAACCAGCTCCACCAGCCTCTCACAGCTGTGCGTCTGCAGCATGGCCGCCATCCTGACAGCGGCCATGTTGGGACCCGTCAAACAGTGTTCGCTAAAAACTCTGTGGTGGCAACCTTTGACCCTTAAGAGACTTTGCAAATCTGATTGATTTCTCAGACTATTCTGCTCTTCTTTGACATGCTACTTTGACTCACCCTTGATCCAACATGGCGGCTTTAAAGATGGCGGCCTTGTTCTGGAAAAGGCTTAAACTGAAACCTAAAGCCTGACTGGACGCCGCTCATTCCAGAGGATTGGTTTCAGTTGAGCCATGGTTCTGCTCCAGGTTTCTGCCTGTTAAAAGGAAGTTTTTCCTTGCCTGTGTCGCCTAGTGCTTGCTCATGGTGGGAATTGTTGGGTTTCTCTAGTTAACTTCAGAGTAGGGTCTGACCTGCTCTGTTTGGAAAGCGCTGTGAGACAACTGTTGTTGTGATGTGGCGCTATATAAATAAAATTGAATTGAATTGAAGTTGGGTGTCCAGCGTTGGTTGTTCCTGGGGGAGGAAGCGGTTTGTTTGTTTATTTAAGCGGCTTGCAAACCGACCCCGGAGTTCCCAGCACCCGCTTCATCACGGAGGGGTTTAACGTTATTAACACCGACAAGAAGCCTCTGAAATAAAACCTGAGTTTTAATTAGCTTGTAGCACAGGGCGATTATGGCGGTATTATTCCCCGCTGATCTCCGGCCAGCTGTGCCTTCAGCTCTTAATGTTCACGCTGCAGCTGGTTTCCGTAACGGCTGCCAATCCTTAATTTAAGCTACTTGTGGAGGGCGAGCGTTAAACCCATCAGACTGTAAAATGGAAATGTAACGGAGCGTTCTGCCTGTAACCTGAACCCGGAGAGTGGGAACGAGGCTCCTGGACTGTGTCTGCATGTGGACGCTGACAGGCCCGGCGCAGGCTTAGTGACCGGTGGCAGAAAATGGGCTCATCTGAGAGCAAAAAGGGGACACCCGGCTTTCAAAGGAAGAGCTGGATTACAAACCCAGAGGCTCCAAAAAAAACATCCTCTATTTCTCTGCCTGTTGTATATTTGGAAATAAACAGCAACAGGTACTTTATCCTCTGACCATTTTTTAAACCTTTTTAACCCCAACTGATTTTACTGTGGATGGTCAGCACCGTCGCCTCACAGACAGAAGGTGTTGGGTTCGAATCCCGGGGGAACCAGGACCTTTCTGGGTGGAGTCTGCGTGTTCTCCTGTGTCTGTGGGTTCTCTCCGGGTTGTCTGGCTTCCTCCCACCGTCCTAAAACCTTCATGTTAGCTTGATTGGACACTCCAAACTTCCCGTGTGCGTGTTTGTTTGTCCTGGACTGTGGACCGTCCAGGGTGTACCCAGCCTTTTGCCCATTGACCACTAGTATAGGCATTAGGGAATAAGCGGTAATGATAGAGGATGGATGAATGGATGGATGATTTTACTGTGATGCCAGGTCTGATTGAGGCATATTAAAGCTCAAAAAGACATGTTCTATGACCCAAAAAATGGTTAAAATATGCAGATTGGTGTCCATCGTTTCCAGCCTCAGCGGAGTGATGCTTCCACTTCTAATGAATTCTTATAGTTGTAGCTTCAATTTGAGACCAAGATGGTTCCCAAAGAGTCTGGAATTAAAGAGGAAATTTACATTTAATCTGGTTGGAAACCTCAGAAATAGTGATGTTTCTGACCTGATTCTGATCCTAATCTGCAGTTTAACATATGTGTGTGTGTGCATATATATGTGTATGTATATAACGTGTGTCTGTGTGTGTGTCCATATATATGGATATGTGTGTAGATATGTGTATATATAGATATGTATATGTTTTTTTTTATTTTTTATTAACCAATAAAATATTGAAAAACACTGTTTCTGAACTTTCTGGACCTCAAACGTCTTGCGTCTGTTTCACTTTGCAGATAAAACTGCCAAAACTCTGACAGACTGGGAGGTCAGACTAAGATCCATGGATTTCTGCTCAGAACGGGGCTGATATCATCACCTCCTGTGAGCCCCAGTGTCTTTTTACCAGGACGTTCTGGATCCTTACAGCCTGCTGGTGAGAGTCTGGTCACTTTGGCTCCATCGTCCATGTACGGCTTAAACGGGAGCCAGCGGGGGGGCACAGGCTGTCCTCAGAGGAATGAGACCTCACCATCTTACACCATCTGCAGCCTTTGGGCCAGATTAGAAACATTTAAAGAAACATCGCCGTCCGTTTTTATTTTCAGCCCCATTTTCTGCACCTCATTTCCTTCCATGCTTCCTTTCCTTCATCCTCACCCCTACTTCCTCTCCCTCCTATCCTACGTTTCTGTTGTTCTGTTGTTCTCTCTTTTATCTCTTTTATCCATATTCCTGTTGTCCCTTCGTGCTTTCCGTCCTTTCACTTTGTGGGAGCCTCGTTTCTCTTTTCCCTTTTCAGCTGGATGGCTGAAAACGGGACTTTTCTCCCTTCTTTTCTGGCCTTTTCTGGCCAGCAGCTGCTCTCTGAGCGGCCGGTCGGCCGGACAGAGGCGGCGCCCTACTTTTCCAAAGGCACAGGGGCGCCTGCCCCGTGTGGGCGGGGCCTCAGGCGACCCCTCTGGAGGTCGCCGCGGGCGCCCAGCGAGGGCCCTGAAAAATGGGCTTCTGTCTGGGGAGTGGCAGAGGAAGAAAAAAGAAAACAACACACACACACACACGCGGCCAGAGATGAAATATTTATCATTTGTGTTGATTGAGCTTATTTGGGTCTCCTGTTTCTGCGGAGTCAGCAGTTCCGGCTCGGAGGGGGATTTGATGACGGCTGGAGAACTGCACCTGCTAAATAAAGCTCCGCCCCGCCCGCCCCCCTCCCCCGGTAGCAGGACAGCGCGGCCCATTGTGCTTACCTCAAGGCTTTCTGAACCTGGACGGCTTTGCTAATTTAGCATACTTTTAAAGGTCCTGTGCTCGTTTCACAAGGTGGATCACTCCCCCCCCCCTCCGGACGTCCAGCTCTCCTCGGATAAGCAGCACCAGAGGAGCCCCGTTAACCTCTCCTGTGAGGAACAGAGCTCCGTCAGGGAGAGAGCCAACTGGAACCGGGAGCCAGGCCCTGCTTCTCTTAATAGGTTGACACCAGTTATTAATTTCCAGTAATGGCGGCGACCCTCTAAAAGCGTCTGGCGGTGAATAAATGGAGGTGAGGCGACACGGCAGACGGCACAAAGCGGAAACTCGGATTTATCTCGGTGTGAAACGGCTGCCGGGGTTTGGCTCGGCTTTAGTTATTTTTCTCTCCTGAAAAAAAAACAGGTCCGCTACTGAGTTTCTGCCTTTTTTTTGTTTGGGTTTTTTTTTTTAAGTGACAGGGATTCAGAAACGGAGCGGCCGATGCTGCCGAGCACAAAAACGAGGCCAGGAGCTAATGTTTGGGAGTTTTAAATGAGCCTGGTGTGGTGGTCTGAACGGGCCAAACAGTGGCAGAGCAGAACAAAAGGAGGGAACGGTGATTAATAGCTGCTTTTCTTCTCCAGTAAATGACGGATGAGAGGCCTCACCTGAAAGAGATCTCAGCAGAGGAGGCGGCCACTGTGTGTTCCTCACACACTCAAGCTCTTTCTGGTCTTTAGTCTGTTTGAGCTGATTGAACCAATAACAAATGGGAACCAAACCTTCTTTATTCAAAGGAAAATGAAGAACTGGTGTGTTAAAGCACTGAAAGACAGCTCAAAGTTAGTAACTGTAAGAAAAAGGTTCTCTAAAAGGCAGCGATGAAGGTAGAGTTATGCTTTTTAATTGTTTATGGAAATAATAGGACTGTTTTCCATTTTCTTCGATTACCACTCAGTTGAATAACAAAAAAAGGGGTTTTCAGATGGTTGTGTTTTCATAAAAGGCTTCAGGGAGAAATCAGACAGACAGGATGCAGGTGCATCATGGGAGCCCCCCAGCAGAACTACGTGGTGTTTTAGGGTCCCTGAGCCAGTTAATGACAACAATGATGTCACTAACTCACCACTGAAATACAGGAGTAGACTTTAGTGTTTGGTGGTAGATAGGTTTTCTGCCTCCAGAACCAGAACAGAGTGAAGGGGTCCGAGCTGCTCACCTCTGCGTCTCCAGAGACGGACAGGGATTAATCATCAAAAACTCACCAGAGCCTGCACTTCCTTTTCTTCAGGGGCTGGTATTTCATATCTGGGCTGGACCTCTGACCTCCTGTTAACCTCTCACACTTCCTAAGATATCGCTGTCTGCTGGTGTCAGCTTCTGCTGTCTGAGAAATCCTGAAATTAAGCCGGCCCGTGTCCACCAGCGAATCGGAGGAGAGGACCGTTGGTCTAAGTCCCAGGCGTCAAACTCCAGTCCTCTGTGGTCCTGCAGGTTCTTAGAGGTGTCCCCGTTTCAGCACCCCTGATTCACATCAAAATGCAGCTAGCAGGCCGGTGAAAAGCTCCATGATGTCCAGAAGAGATCCGATTTAACCCAAACCAGCCGTTCAGAAGCAGGAAAATGTCTGAAACCTGATGGACGGCGGCCCAAAGAGGACCAGAGTTAGACCCCCCCTGGTCTAAGTGATGAGGACGTCTGCGTGGGCAGGTGTCTGTTCCACAAACGAGCGGGTCCAAAGAAGGTCCACAGAAGGTCCAATGACATCCTGCTGACGGTCCACAGAATGTCTGCAGAGGGTCCAAAGACGGTACACAGATGGTCCACAGACGGTCTACAGATGGTCCACAGAAAGTC